AATTTGGCCCATCATCAAATTACAATTACAACATGGTATCTGCACATATAACCCCCATGATTTATTTAAATACCTATTAACCCAAATTGATTGATCACTTTAAGTGGGTTATCCTTAAAGATAGTAATACACATTGATTAATCATATGTGCCCACAAATAGATTTAATTAGATTTAAATCCAACAAGAGTAGTCTATTGTAAGCTTTGTAATCTTCTTCAATAATCAAAAGAATTTCTGGTGTGGCTCCCAAGGACGTAGGCAAGATTACCGAACCTGGTTAAATCTGACGTTCTCTCCTTTTATTTATTCTTTCCTAGAAAGTTTTCGTTTTGCTGTGATTTCTTGCTTGCTATTTATTCGTCACAAGAACCGAAGGGCACGGGTTGTCGATTGTTTGACCCCAACAAAAATCGTATACCAAGAATTCTGAAGTTCTTTAAAAACTCTTGATTGCACATGATGCATATAATATATCTTTTAAATAGGCATATGGAGATCATTATACGACAAATGACGTCGAAAGTCTTTGGTTTAGAAGATGATATCCATTTTTCTTAGTGGAGAATTAACTGGATTGTTCCAACCATAACAAGCATACATATCAAATCATGTGTAAACTAAATTTGCATATATGAAATGATTCATAATAATAAAGAAATAATGTAATAACCCGATCTATCTTAAATAGGCCATGGTCAGAGGCATGAACTTCTTTAGAAAATCAGATATATTCAATATTTATGACTTATCGTAATCAAAATATTTTATTAACACCTAAAATGATACTTAGGGTCTATTTGGTTGGATGGAAATAGAGTTGCAAAGGTAAAGAGAACAACCGGATTTGTAAATATATTGTTAGGTTTGTAACTTTGTGCTTAGAAAAGGTAGATGTACTTGCATGTTGTGGGGGGAAAAGAACTTGCAACTATGCTACAGCCAATTTATGTTAGCATTTTCTTAAGGAAAATGCAATTGTGAATAGTCCCACATTGGAAGTTGAAGAGAAGTTCAAGTGGTTTATAATGGTTCACTTCCTAATGGGCTTTGAGTAATGTTTTGGGCGTACTAGTGTTTGTGCTCTTTCTCCACACACGCGCGCGCGCACGCACGCCTCGCCTCGCCACGCCACGCCTCGCCACGACACGACGCGCGCGCCACGCCGCACTCGGGTTTTGCTTCTCCAGCTTTTATTTTTTTGTAACGGCAGCATTTATTATGTATCGGCAGCATTTATTATGTAACGGCAGCGTGATTTACGCCCAACGGACGAGGAGATTCAGCATCGGTTACCATATTCAGTATCTGTCATAAAAAAAAAATGATACTTAGGGTCTATTTGGTTGGATGGAAATAGAGTTGCAAAGGTAAAGAGAACAACCGGATTTGTAAATATATTGTTAGGTTTGTAACTTTGTGCTTAGAAAAGGTAGATGTACTTGCATGTTGTGGGGGGAAAAGAACTTGCAACTATGCTACAGCCAATTTAGTGGTAGGAAAAGTTGCAAGTTTCGATCGAAATAATTCTACCTTATCAAAATAAAGTTTTTTTTTAATCCAAACAGAAAAATATTTACACCTAACTTTCTTTATATGGCAAGATTACATATATAGGTCTTGCTAATTGCTTTTCAACCAAACATTAAGTCTGCATTGAAAATACATTTTCCTATAATACAACTACATATATGTTGTGCGCAGCGGAAATTTCGGCAGAGTTTCTGGTGCACAATAAGAGAGAAAGATCAATAAGACACCCCGTTCAGGCCTGATTTTTCATAACTCATTTATTTTCAGTTAAACTAATATTGTTTATTTTGTTAGCAATCTAGACGATAGAAAATTTATTGCTGTTAATTTAAATCTGAAAATAAATATATATTAAAAAAAATATTGTTACTGTTCACCCGAATTTCATATTTGTTTAACTGTTTTAATTTGTTAACCTTTTGCATCTAAGTAGTTAACAAATTATTTTACTGCAATAGTACTGAATTTTATATCTGTCAATTTTCATATTCAGTATCTGTCATAAAAAAATAAAAAAATAAAAAAAATAAAAAAAATCTTTAAGTGAACCAGTTCAAGTTTTCTTGGATTAGTTGGTGTCTAAGGAAAGGTTTAAGGGTTGCGTAAAGCGCTCTGCAAGATCTCTGCCTTGCACCTTCTTTGCACTCTGCCCAATCAAATTCGTTTCTCCCCCTGCTGCACACCTTTTGCTCAGCCGCCTAAGTCTTGCACCCCCTCACTTCGCACACCCTAAACCCTAGAAAAACTAGGTATATATATATAGGCTATAGCTTATTCGGGTGGGCCTTGATCACGTCCACGAAGAAAAAAAACTAAAACACCCGCTGTACATGTACCTGATGCACATGTACCTCAGGTGGGCCAGATTTGTTTTCATGCTTCAATTGGTGGGTGTGGCCTCACATGGGTGGCTCTTCGTTCACAACATATTCAAACAACGAATTTGAAGTTGATTTCCTATAACAAATTTTGCATCTAACATTTGCTACAATTTATTTTTGCAGAAAACCAGATAAACCCTTAGTGTAAAATAAAAACTTTATAAACACATAAACAAATGTAACAGTATTTCCATGGACATCTGAGTCATAAAGAGAGAAGGCATTGGATTAGAATTTGATGCTTCAAATATTAATTGACATTCGCACAAATATTAGCCTTTAACTTTTGTTTCTCCTCACCCATTCGATGCTTTTTCTTTGTTAACCGCTACTTTGTTTTTACTTTACGTGGCTCTTTCGGTTCATCTGATCTCAGATTGTACCAAGATGATGCCAATTGAAGTTTTGTAGGGGGGAAAAGTGAGGAAAGTTCTTCTTGGCTTCCTCCTCTCCTTCTATGAGTCGGCACAAATACAATGGATCCTAGATCCCCATGCGTGTAAAATAAATTAATAATAAAGCTAGAGCTATTTGTAAGTTTTTTAACGTAATTATTCTAATATCTTTTGAATTGAAACCAAACAAATTTAGCAGTTAAAAAAATATTAAGCAACCCTGGACATTTTATTTTTAGAGGAGGAATTAATAATAAAGAGCTATTTGTAAGTTTTTTAACGCAATTATTCTAATATCTTTTGAATTGAAATCATACAAATTTATCCCAAGATTTAAAAAAAAATCTTGGATATAAATGATTCGTGATTTGAAATTTTCCATTTGAAGAGTTCTCAGCCCTTGAAAAAGAGGGGGAAAAACGAAGAGTTAGAGGGACAACTATTGCAATCAAATGACAATATTAAAAGAGAATATTCGAATATGACATTAATGAGAGAGGAAATAATAAAGTTTCAAGGCTAAAATGATCCGAGGACTAACTCAAACGAAAATAATAACATTTGGGATTCTAAGATCCTATTTAACAAAAAACGATTTGTATCCCTTTGATCAATGCACAAAAGATCACAAATATACATCATTCTCTTTGATTATGAGTGATCGAGTGTAACTAAAAAATAATTCCTCATTAGCATTTTTCATGAAAGAAAATGTGTTAGTCAATTGGGATATTTTCATGAAAAATAGGATAATTGTTAAAGTGGAATAATTTTTCGCTAGTGGGATATTTTAGTGGAATAAATAGGAACAATTTTGTGAAGCGGAATATTTGATAAGATAACGTGGGATAAATTTTTATAATCATGAAATATATATTTATGCATTTTGAAGATATAAATACTATTTATGTATTTTAAGCTTACTATTATTGATTGATAATTTCTTACAATAATGTTCTTTACTATTAAATAACTTTTGATTAGACTATATGATATTGATAATTATTATTATAATGGTGGTCTAATGATGGTGATAACCATAAAAGGAAAGAAGTAGAGAGAGAAAAATATAAAAAATAAAAAATAACAAAATAAATATGAGTTCTAGTTTTTTACCACCTAGTTCCAAGCTAAAACCTCGAATAATTTGAGAGACCAGAACTCTCATTTTTGTATAAAAATGAAAAAAAATAGGATAATTTTGTATCATTATCCCAATTCTAGTTTTGTTAGAATTCTACTTGACTAACACTGTAAAATTTTGTTCTGGTTTTAGTTCTATGTGACTAACACCTTAAACATTTATCCCACAGATTATTCCAGTTCCAATTTTAAGTTCTAGGTTACTAACCCCCCTAACCAGGGATTCCTCCCAAATCTATAAAAGCAAAGCTTGGATTAGGTAACTAAGGCAAGTGATACCATGAACTAGGACCCACACAGCTAGGTCCAACCATGCAAAGTTTGCACAACCACTCATTTTTGCGACCATAAAGGCTTAGCGTTAATATATATATGCGATCTTTGTTTTTTGGTGTGCGCTTTTCAAGTTAAGATTTGTTTTATTTTGCAAAAAAGTATAAAAATCATTCTCGATTAAGAAAAGAGGATGCGTAAAAATATTATATTGTAGAAAATTTATTGAGACGCAGCAACCAAAAGATGCTTTAAAGACGATTCATTGATTGGTCATGTGATGGCAATTAATTTACATCAAGATTCTTAAAACACCTATCTATATTAAATATAGAGACCAAGGGATACAGATCCTCTCTAATTATGGGTAATTAGGGGTAATAGAGAGTGTTCAATTACTTAAATTATAGACTTTTGTTTCAAGTTAAATAGCTGGGATAGTGACACGTGGAAGTCGACTATTATCTAGAAATTTGAAAACCACTTTTGTGAATAATGAAAAATCTACGTGGCCTCATCTCACCCATTAAAATTGGAGTAAATGACTAAGATTTGAGTAATCGGACCCCTTTAAATTACCACATAATTGGTAAAGATCCGAATCCAAAATGATTTACTAGACTTTATGAGCGCACTATCTGACACTACAGGACGCCAACAGTTAGCATAACGCTAGGCTTTGCATGTCAACGGAACTGCGTGCGAAATTATTTATTCTCCGAACATTGCACGAGATTATTGAATAATTGGATACGTGCGGTCGTCACCCGTGTTACCAATCCACCAAATTCGCATCCACGGAAGTCAAATTTCTTTGTCGAGTAAACAAACATCCATGGAAGTACCTTAAAGCAGAAATTTACGCTTACAAGGAATTTTTAACATTATATCTGCAAAAGAAAACACTGCCAATCACAGCCATTATCGAATTAGCATACGCATCTTTCTCCATAACTATAAATAATTCACGGTAATTTTGTGATTTTACCTCTTGTAATTGTGATGGGAAGTTTCTTAAACTAATCCTAATTTTATAACTCTCGTATATGTTCGTTAAGAAATTGAAAAAAATTACATAGTTCCACCTCCCCGCATGACGCCAAGAGAGGAAAACTGATCAGAGGAGCTCGTATCAAGAGTGAGATGAGTGGGGCGCTCAGCAGGCATAAAGAGATATCGTCACCTCAGACCCCCCTTAAATTCCAGCCTAACTCAAGTGAACAGGGGAGGATTCAAGTCGTGGCCGGCGTGCGGGAATTTCACCCAGCTAACCGACTGGGCAGCCTCCAGTGCGTATCGTGTTTCGCTTCCCGTGAAGTAAACGTATACAGGCTCACGACAATACACCTCTATATCTTGAATTGACGATGAACGCAGCTTGAAAGCTTAGGGACGATTTCTGTATGCGTATCCTCCTCCCTAACGCTCCCTTGGAACACACTCAGTTCCAAGGGAACAAGAACGTTCGCTAGGAAAGATAAATAGGAACGCCAAATACGATAAGGGGCTGCTTGGTTGGTTGAGAAACTAAGAAAAAGAAATCAAAACACCCACCACACCCATGTAAAAAATATTTGATTTACTTTTTTTGTGTTTGGTTGGGAGAAGAATAAAGAGATGTGCGTGTAGGACCCCCCACCCACTAGTAAAATAATAGTACCATGGGTCCCAAATTTAAGGAGACTCATTTCCTCCCAAAAAGTCATGAAATATGTTCGAAAACATGAAAATGTATCTCACAACCTATTTCTCATGAGTAATCTCCCAAACTCGAGTTTCTAGGAAATGAACCAAACAACCCCTAAAGCAAAAACTAAAGAATCGCCAAAAGTAACCTATTCTTGAAAAGCAAATGCATGCAAATGATAGCCTGATTAACACAAAGACGAGGCAAAGAATCCAAGACAAAGCGCCAAGAGGAGAAAAAAATTCATCAGGAAACAGGTGGATACCTAATTAAGGTAAGTGATTAAAACGCGATCTTCCTCCGGTGGGACAAGGTTACAAGAAATGGGTAGGCCCTGCACAAAAAAGATAGTACAGAACCTTTAATCGAATTGAGCTGGAACTCTACCTGTAACCACGTGGCCATAATTAAGCTGCGGATGTCTTGTCATGATTTAATTTCGTCTAATTAGTGAGCAAATTAATAACCATTTTATAGGTTTGAACAGCTGAGAAAGCACTAACTATATCAAGATATTAAAATCATAATACTCCATTAATGATTTGATATAAATACAACCACCGTGCTGCCGATTCACTTACTTTTAACAGGTCTACAGGGTTTAGATTCATTTTGATGGCAACTTGTATTAGAATAATAATAGGAAATCTTAGGCTCAACCTTCCAACTCACATAAATTAAGATTAGCATCAACACATACACAGAGAAAGCTATAGAACTCTGCACAACATCTGCACAGAAAAGGACAAATATATCAAGCTAGAACCTGGAAGCGGTGAGGAAATTCTGATACGGGAAAGTAAGATCACCAAAAGGGAAGATTCGGGAGTAGCTAAATAAGAAAAGGCAGAGACTACAAGATGCAGAACTACAATACTGCTTCTCATGAAAAAAATAAAACAATGCAAACTTGAGTTACAAGTTCCAAGAAAGCAGCAGCAGACTTAACACACAAGACCCATATTCCTCCAAATGTGTCTTTCACTCACTCCTCCTGGGCAACATCAGATAACAAGCTACTGCTTAAATAAAAGGATGGAACCTGCTGCTATATTTATGAATTAATTAATTATAATTCTTAGATCACTAATATAAGTTTTTAAGAAAGATAATTAAACGGCACACAAGCTGAATCTATTCAAGATTAAACTAAAATTTAGAAGTCCATCTCTAATCATGCACAGCAGTATAAATGTCTCCACATACACCATATTGGAAAAAAAAGGAAACGGAATTGCTTTACATGTAAGCATATGATTATGGATAGTGGGTATTTCTCTCTGTCAATACTAAACAATTAGAAAACACTTTACCTACTTGCATGTCCACACTTTACCTACTTGCATGTCCACTTAAGAGACATAAAAGTAGGTTAAGACTGAGTAGATAAAGTATTTCTCTTAGCTAGTAAATAACAGATCATCAATAGTAGTAACACCAAAGAACATCTATGAGGTATAAAAATCACATCAGCCAAATTATAGTACACGTTTAAAAGGACAAACAAGAAGTTGAGACCATTGAAAAAGTAAGTACTTGATCAAACAGATACTTGTAAAATTCGAAATCGGTCTTTTTTTAATAAGGAAATTAATCTTTAATGAGCATTTCGGCATGCCTGTTAAGGGCACATATGGATGTCCTTTCTACATATCCAGCCACCTAGACTTTAAAGACATATGGTAGAAAAGGTAATATGACATAAAAGCTATGAAGCACGGACACGCATAACATGAAGCCGTGTCGTGTCGTGTCCGTGTCGGACACACGTGTCAAACACACGTATCCTATGTATTTTTTAGGAATTGCCTTGTGTCGGCGTGTCGGATGGCCGTGTCGGATCCGTGTCCGTGCTACATAGCATAAAAGAATACTGCTACTTTGAACTATAAACGAGTAGAGCAAACTAAACTAGAAATCAATTCAGAAATATTCTAGTCTGAGTAAGAAGGTTGGGTTCTGGTTTCTTGGCCAGTTTCTGATTCAAAGGTACTCAACATTATAAAACTTGAGAAGGTAACACGCCCAAGAAATTGAAAGCAAATTATTGAAATACACAAAGGAAGCATGTGATGCAAGAAATGGTTTTGAGTCATGATTTGGAAAAGGTAAAAATTCCAGAACAAATATAGGATACAAATATAGGATACATCTATAGTGCAGAATATAACCCTTGTCCAATCAGATCAAGTTAAATTGATCCATTTGTAGCTGTATCATTTATTAGATCCTGTAGTTAAATCAGAGAACACCATTATTGTTTTCGGCATTTTATGCATAACCCAGGAAAAGTCCTCATCACATGCAGGGAGCCTTCTCTATGGTTACCAATGCACTCTCCTCCCGAGCCAGAGGATTTCTCCGATTACTCTATTTTAAGACATCATAGAAGCCTAACAAAATGCTTGGGCAGTCCAAAAACCTATTCTCTTTTTATGATTCCCTTGGAACTGAATAGTGGCACACTTTGCCTAATTATGGTCTTTTGTGCCCCTATTTCCCCGCTCATGTCAACAGTTCCAACTTCTCTGCATCAGTGTCTCCTCACAGCCACAGCATAAACAACGAAAAGAAAAAGAGTTTACCCCATATGGTTAAAGTTCAGCTAAATGATTGCCATTTCCATTTCAGATATCTACATGCAATTTCTTCAGTGTTTTCTTTTTCTTTTTTTTCTTTTTTCCTAGCAATTTCTTCAATGTTTTCTTTTTCTTTTTTTCTTTTTTTTCCTTCTCTTATGTATGATAACAAAATTTCCTCTGTCAAATAGGCAATTGTCATATCACATTTACTGCCACAATCTAGGTTCATTTTTTGTCTGCCCCTAGCCGTAGAAACTATTTTGCAAGCTATTGGTCTTCCTAGCCAATTCGATCCATCCGGTCAGTCATGTCCAAGCCAACTCAAACAATTCTCATTGTGGTATTTGAAGCTTATTCTAACTTCCAACTACGTACTTATTGCTTGCCTGTCTGTTACCATCCTAGTGTTCAACCATCTAAACATTTTCATTTTAGACTTATTGTTGACATATTATCTCTTGATTCCCAGAAAATTGACTGAAAGACAATAGCAGTCATATAATAATAATTCTTAAGACTTCCTAATATAGTTTATCACACTGAAAATCAATATGAATAAATTTTCTATGATGGCATTAACAAAAAAGTTGAGGACACCAAAACTCTTTCTGCAGCATCGCTTTAAATCATAATCATGATTTAGAAAGCTTTTGAAATAGCTCGTGAATTAATTTGAAATTTCTTGCAACTGAAATATAAATAGCCATTATATATTTATGAATTATATAGACACCTTCATAAAGTACCTACCCAAATAATACCGGTAATCATCAAATTCACCATAGACTGGTCATTGGACAATGAACCCTTAATATTTCATAGTGACATGATCATGGAGAGGAATCAAACTTTGTCATCAGTTCCGCATATATATTTAGTTATAAGAAATGAAATGTCAACTGTATCATCTACAACAAACTATTATTTATAAATTATAACTATATATGTTTTTTCACACTTTTCCATCACTTATATGAGGTCCATTTACATATAAAGACTTAGTCTGGATGTTCTAATAAGAAATATAGGATTTTTGTATATGACAAGAAATTACAAGATTTTAAAGAATATTGTCTGGTTTTTTTTTTGGGTGCTGGGGTGTTTTTGGGGGTTCTGTGCAATGGGCATGATAGACTCGATCATATAATTGAAGTTCTTATTTAGATTAGAACTTTCAAAAACCATGATTTTGGAAGATTTCATATCTTCTTAATCTATCGAAACAATCACCTATGAATCTCATGGATTGCACATTGCATAGTTGTGATTTTGATTTCTACTTGAAATTTATACAGGCTAATACGACAAAACAAATTCAATTAATAAGGAAATGAGTAAAAAGAAAGTAGTTTAAAATTTTTAATAAATTAAATATTCCAAATCAATGGGTAGGATGACGGGTTACATGATCTAGGAAATCCCTATACTACATCGAAGTTTTATCTCAAATTTTGCAAAAAAAAGAGGGGCAAGCATGAATTTACAGACTATTAACGGGTGCAGGATGCCTCTAGGATGATGAAATAATTGATATCTTGGACGTTAAAAAGCACAAAACAAGACACTCAATCAACAGAATAAATCTGCTAATAGGAGTAGATTGCTGTGAGTTCTAACAAATAAGCAGCTTCGAGAAATCTTCAATTGGTTACATTTGTCACTAAAATAAAATTCAAAGGACAACATAACACAAGGATGTAGTTCATTGCCCAAACCAATGTCTTAAAAAGCAGTCTGGGTCCCTGCCTAAGCATAAGCGGTGCTTTCGCCACCTGAGTAGGTCTTGGGGAGCCTAAGGAGGCATTGCCCGCTTATGTGGACTGCACCGCTAGGTCATGGTCGTTATTTCCTCTATTGTTGCCTCCACGTCCTCTAACCTCCTCTAACCCCCTCCATCAATTCTGAACACTTCCACCTCCTCCAACCTTCAGCAAACATCGATCCTCCACCTCCAGCTAAACAAAATAGGAATTCTGACAAGGCAACAAGGACCGGGTTGGTGACTAGAGGTGCCTAGTGCTTTCTATAACATTGACCAAACTAACTCAAAGAGGTAGCATTGACACATGCCATGACAGTAACTTAGGAGTATTTGGATGAAGAACAAAAGGATTGGGGTAAGATATACATTAAGCTACAAACAATATGTTGTTCAGTTTACAACCATAGCAATTGCTGTTGGTGGTTATGTTGTTGTAGTTTTGGGTGGACAAAAGAGGTGCCTTTGTCCAATTACCTATCCATCAATAGGCTTTGAGTTATCTCTATGCATATCCACTTCCATCTACATCCAAATCACAAAGGTTAGTTGTACATTTTACTAGCTTTCTCCTTTGATCCCACAAGTGAAGCACAACAGCTCCCACATTAAAGTTAGTGCTAAACTGCTTAGAGCCTTAGACTAAGTGCAGTCGTAGATCACCATGAAACATGAAGAACGTTGATGATTTATTTCACAGAAAAACATCAATTACAGAACATACGGTCCTTTACCTTTAGCCTCCTTATTGCCCTTGTGCAAGGAAATAAACTCATATCTCATTGAAGTGCTCCTATGCTAATAAGGCCATAATGTTTTGGTAATAACTCATTCTTAAATTAACAAGACTATGAAAATATATTTCTGTATTACCTCTTCACTAATCTCAACAAACCCCAGCAGTCCATTGGGACGAATGAAAACGAGACTTTCTGAATTTAGTGCCAGCTCCAACCGTCAATATCAACTTGGTGGTTATTGAGTTCTTCACTTTGTGAGAATGGTTAGTATACCATCTTCATCAAGAAGGACGAAAAATGCCCTAACAATGGAAAAAAGAAGCTTTTGCAAAAGGGAAAAAGGACTATTATTGTACCCAATCGATCACAATGGTCTTCATTTGGCCACGACAAGTGACCTTTGGGGATCATTGACTCGATCATATGCAGGATCGCCTATATAGGTAAAATCAATGCATGTTAATTCACAAATCTTCTAGGTCACTACAGATTAGGAACACTTGATAATATCACTTGAGCTAGCTCACATGGCAATACTGAATGCGGTCAATTTATATACAAACTTACTGCAGTATTCCATTGCCTTGAAATTATACATCCCGCCACACTATGAAAAAGAGAGGTGATGGTTTATGACTCTTGAAGTCAAGGAACTTGTAATTTGAAATCAGCCTTAAGAAACACTAAGAAACATCTTCAACAAGTGAACATTGCAATATATTAGATAATGTGCTCCGGCTTTTATGAGGATACGTTTGTAAGTGTAGTATTTACCGGAAGAAACGGTGGTAAGGGTACACTGCGTCCGATCGAAATAAGCACTTTCCTGAGCAACGAGAAATTCAGACACCTAAGTTAAAAGCACAAGAGGACCCGGAAGGCTTTTGTGATCAATATTAAATGGTCTTCATATTCACCGTTTCTTAGTTAAACACCGTGTGCAAAATTAGTTACTGGATTTTCCAAAATATACTGAATGGTATAACATACTTACACAAGCTACTTATGCCATTCCTCATCGAAGGATTAGTCCCTTCTAATATGGATCATAAAGTTCATTGCTTACAATATGCAGATGATACTTTGATTTTTTATAAAAATGATAGAATGCAAATGACAGTTTTGAAACTGATTCTATATTATTTTGAACTTGCTTCTGGTTTACAAATTAGTTTCAATAACAGTATTCTAATAGCTCTGGAAAATAATGAGTCCTTGCAACAAAATTTGGCTACTATGATGAATTGCAAGAGTGGTAAATTTCCTATTACTTATCTTGGGATACTATTACGACCTGGAAGATTAAAAAAAGAGGATAGGTTTCTTTTGACCGACAAAATAGAGAAAAGATTATCTTTATGGAAAGGTAAATCTTTATCACGAGGAGGCAGATTAGTGCTGGTTAATTCTGTTCTTTCTTCTATGCCAATTTTTTGGCTATCTTTCTTTTTGTTTCCTTCATGGGTTATTAAAAAAATTGATAAAATAAGAAGGAGATTTTTGTGGACTGGATCTTCTGAGCATAAAAGTTGTTCAAATTTGGTTAAATAGGAAGAAATTTGTAAACCAAAATTCTGTGGGGGTTTGGGAATTAAAAATCTGAAAATTATGAATAAAGCCCTTTTAGAAAAATGGCTTTTGAAGTGGTTGGATGGGAAATATGGTCTTTGGAAACAAATTAGTGGTCATGTACATTTTGAAAGAAAACCATGGATAAATTTTTTAAATGCTGAAAGATTGAAACTTTCACATTTTTGGATAAATCTTTTTACTATTGCTGACTGTTTTTTATGCAATACACATGTAGTGGTTGGAAATGGAATTCATGCCTTATTTTGGTTGGATAAATAGATAGGGCCATTTACCCTTACTTCTATGTTTCCATCCTTATTTTCCCTCTCCTCATCCCCCTGTGCATCCATTTAATGATAACAACATTTGGAGATGAGAGGTGTAGTTTAGAAAACAGTTAACTGGGGATTTGGTTATACAGTATTTCAATATGTTGAATCTTATCAATTCTATTACCTTTGGTCATCATGAAGACAAAAGAGAATGGTTATGGGAGGCTAAAAAAGTTTTTTCGGTTAAATCTTTTTATCAAATTCCTTATTGATTGTGGTCTAAGATTTGACTGTGCAAACTTATGGGATCTTCCTATTCGTTTAAAAGTTAAGTTTTTAGTTTGGTTGGCTCTAAGAAATGGTTTGAATACAACAGATAACCTGGCTAAAAAAGGAGTTTGTTTAAAGAAGACATGTTGCTTGTGTGCTAAAACAGATGAAGATCATTCACACTTGTTTCTCAACTGTGAGTTTGTGTACTCTATTTAGATATCAATTAAATTCAAGTTGAAAACTGATAAAATTTTTAGACTGAATTCTATAAAAGAAGTTTGGCTACAGTGGTCCCGTGGATATTATGGAGATTCTAATATGAAGAGAAAAGTTTTTATTTGTTCTCTTATCTGGTGTGTCTGACAGGAGCGCAATGACAAATTATTTTCTAATAAGCAGAAGAGTTCTCTTGTCCTCTTGAATAAAATTGTGACTTTCTCAACATTTTGGCTAGGATCAGAGGGGATTTCTGCTCGAGCTGTCAGATTACAAGAAAGAAGAAGAAAAAGATGGTGTGGTCACAGTAATTCAGTTAGGATGATGACCTGCAATCATGTTTCTGCTTGATTAATAGTCGTTGGATATGCTTTATGCTTTGTTTGAAAGAAAACTTTGTTAACTTTTACCTTTTTGTGTTTTGGTTACTAATGTCAAACTTGTTAAATCAGTTAGGTGGTTATCTCCATATGTATATAGGAGATGGAGTTACAACTTGTAGTAATTTCTCTTGAACTCTAGTGCATACTCTTGGTTAGGAGTATGAACTATTTTCTGTAACAACCATCCTTTTAATTTAGCTGGCTAGAATACCTTTGGGGTGTTCCATCCTTTTTCTCAAAAAAACAAAAAAAAAGCTACTTATGCCATTACATTTGCCTCCATAAACAAGTCTCAGCTTCAAAGCAACATTAGGAGGAATCAATTGACTATGTTCATTCCCCAAATACCTTCGCTTGTATGTTTACATTAATTACTAACGCTTCTGTTCAACAAAAATTTCCAAGAAGTTGTTACCTAAACACAGCGATGAAGCTTGAGGGAGTACAACCTAGCAAATCCAAACCCCAATATTTCTTCTACTCTCAGTTTTCTACGTATTAGAATTGTTTAAATGATTAGACAATGTGAACTTATTCTAAATTTGACATTCACGTAAACTTTTATACTAAGTGTACTCTAGGCACGATCTTATTCCAACATACCCATTTACACGGCAGACAAAGAACACTTTTTGAACACATAAAGCTTCATTACAAGATGTATACATACGATAGACCTTAAGAACAACAAAAGGGGGGGAATCAAACTCACAGCTCCTACACCGGCGGTATGTTTGAGAAGGAGAAGCCTTTGTAACCCTTGAACGCATAATACGCGATCCTCGTATAATAAAACCCCGGCAAGAACAGCAACGAGCCCAGAATCGCAAACGAGACCCCTAATTTTCGCAAAAATCGCATCAAAATTGCACCAATCAAGAAATTTTATTAGGGTTTTGGGAGTGAAGAGGGTTTTGGTACCGTGAGCTCTGTCGCCGCCGATTCTGTTGGCGGCCATGTAAGATCCGAAGACGATGGCAAGGGTTCCGAAGACGAGGAGGGCGACGGCGAGGGCGACCTCTTTGATCGGCGGCCGGTTTTGGATGACGTAAGAGGGCTCCATCATGAAGTCCTCATCGGAGATCGAGAAGGCGTGGTCCACGTAAGCCATTAGAGAGAGAGAAGAGAGAGCAGGTAGCAAGTTTTGTGGGGGCTTAATAAGTAGCGAGCAAGGGAAAGTGGATGAGCACCTGATTTTTGACGTTCTAGAAGGGTTGATTAATAAATGGCGAGGACTTTTGGGGGGGTTTGGGCTAATTTTGACTCATTCGTTAGTCCGGGAGTAACTCTTAAGGCATTGTTCACATATTCGCTAGGATGCTCTCGCTCTCTGCAACCGTGAAGACTATCGCTACGTTTTTGAGTTGACTGGTGCGTATGTTTGAATTGAGGGGAAAACTCTATTTTTTTCTTCCCCCTAAATTGGGGTGTAACCAGCTTAATAACGATGAAAGGTATTTATGTCATTTTATATATATCCTCTTCCATTCCCTTCGCTTTATTACACTTCCCAAAATAGGGTGAAATAAGTTGCCCTTGATTCCCCTTACTAATTTTCCAAACAAGATTTATATGATATTTTACCTTTCCTTAACTTATCCTAGGTTTCATTAACTTCCCTTCACTTGCTCCAAAACCAAACAAACCCTGGGGGAAGGAAATGAAAAGTAATATAGGAAAAGGAAATGTAAGAAAGATGAGGGAAAATATAATATCTTATTTAGGAGTTTTGTAAGGAGAATTGATGAGGTAAACTTAAATTATGTTGTTTGGGAGTTCTAATTATGAGAAGGGAAGTGATGCATATGAATCTTAACTGCTGATTCATTATGATAGAGGGTTAAGATGTCTCTTTCATTATGAAATTTTACTTTCATTTCCTTTCCTTTCGTTACTGCCCAATTTGAGGTGAAAGAAACCATATAAGTTTTTATGAAAACTTCTACTTCCTTTCCCCTCTTTACATTCTCAATAAAACTCCTAAATGAAGTTAAACCTAAAATTCTCTTCTCACCTCTCTCTCTCTCTCTCTCTTTACCCCCATCCAAACTCAAGAGGGGTTTGGTTTAATTCATACTCTTCAATTAAATATTAGAAGATTAACCTCACTCAACGGAACACATGTGAGTTATGACCTCTATCTCTGCCCTCTTCATGGGTCAAAAAAGAACTAAAGAAGGACGTAGTGTAAAACTTTCCGCTGAGTTTGGTCAAATACAGTGTCCGTTGAGTGCAATGAGTCCTGATAAGAAAGTATCATATGGACATTCATAGTATTAAATGTGCATTAAGTAAATATTAATATTTAAATTATCAAACTTTGGGATTCATACACAGACGCTATATTTGACATTCTTTGAGAAAACATGTTTAATGAACTTGAATTTGTCTCACAATGCTCTGTAACTCAAAGATAAAATTTGGAACTTTTAAGAAGAAAAATGTACAATAACTAACTTGCCCGGTATCTTATATTTTATGAGTTTTTCAAGGGGTTGCTTGGTTCATTTGCTACAAAACACAAAAAAAAAATTGACAAAGAAACCACCTATTTAGGTTTTTCAAGTGATTTTCTCATCAAAACCCACGAAACTAGTTTTCTAGAAATTGAGACAAATTAATCAATGAGAGGGTGTCACTTCACCCTTTCTCGATTTCAAAGTGAAAACCAAACAGAAGAAAATAAAATTTTATAGAAAATGTGTTATCTTTGTCTTGACCGAGAGGTGTCACTTCCCTTCACTTGCTCCAAACAAGTTTTTTTGGCCAACCAAACAGGCTTCCTATAAATTTATAATGTTGTTTCATATATTTTCGGCCAACCAAACAGGCCTCCTAAAAAAATTTGGAAAGCTTTTAATATGAAAGTTGTGGATTTAGAAGACAATAAATGTTGCAGCCCAAATTTGTGATTCGTTACGCATGGGCTTTTTTGTGAGCTAAACTAGGCCTATTACATAATGGGCCTTATGGAAACACTTCATTTTCATAAGTTTTTCGCTGTCAGCTTTAAACAAGCTTGTAGGCTTGTAGGTTTTAGTCCTCAAGAATGCGGAGAGAACAATAGGTTATATATGTGAAAAAAAAAGAAAAAATAAAGGGGGAATTTTTTTTTTTATACAAACCACCTTTAAAAGTAGGTCATTCTATAAAAACCATCCTTTAAAGTCTTTTTTGTTGTAATCAACCACCTGGGCCCATTAAGCTTTTTTTTTCCTATAATGGATCCTCCCTAACATCAATTAAGGATCATCTCTCAAATATATTTGGCATTCGACAAGTACATTATTATAGCAAAACCGAAAAAAACTTGATCTAAAAGAGGACACATGTGGTTGATTAAAAAACACTTTAAATGTGGTTTATGTATAAATTAAAAGTGAAAGTGGTTCCTATAGAATGACTATATTTTAATGGTGGTTTCTATGAATAAACTTGAATCGAAGAAAAATTAGTAGAAAAAACCACCAACGGGTGGCAGATAGTTCATATGTATCAATTTGAATTCAATGTACCTGGGTTCAATTCCTAAGCAGCTAAGCTGTATTGATCTCGTGTTGTGTGGAATTAAAGATGAGTCTCAACACCTAGAGTTTGCTTGGTTAGGTGTAGATTCTAATAGAAGTGTAGTGTTAAGTAATTTGAGTATGGACTACAACAGGACTAAGAGCAATAGAAGCAAAGGTAGGACTTGTCTAGGTACGTATGAATTCTTCTTGTTAGCGATTCTCGTCAGCGGTCTCTGTAAGATGTTGCTGTGTTGGGGGGGGGGGGGGGGGGGTGTTATGATATTAGAATATCAATAACAAAAAATAAGGGGCTCCATATCAGCAAATAGGGATGTCAATTTCAACTTGAAACTTGTTCGATCAGACTTATGAAATGAAAGTACAATTTATACCTTATATATTGTTGGAAATTACGGTTAAATTTGGAATGAAACAGAAAAATTTTAATGTGTTGTAATTTTAAACTTTTTCAATTCATTGTTGTGCGTTTGTGAAACGCTGTGCTTAAAGCAATATTTAGCCTACTCTGGTGCAAGGATCCCAAGACCAAACTGCTTCCAGGAACAACAATATAGTATTCTGGTGTACACCAACCTAGTAATGTTAAGATCACCTCAATCTATAAGACATTTCGGTCAAGGCAAAGATCTCCTCGATCTTAAAACATTTCGATTCAAAACCTTTCGGTTTCAAGGCAAGTTCCTACGGGCACAATTTCTGCAGTAGCAGCACAGCAGCAACAACGTCAAGATATCCTCGATCCGACGTTCGTATTTCAAGTTCGCACCAAGAACTGCCCAAGGGGCGCTATTTATAAGCCTCTGAGGCCAGCTCAAGAGTCACCCTCAATTTTATGTGGCTGTTACAAATCATAATGGCAATTATGATTATAACAACAATCCATTAAATTAATGTAAATACTGTTGTAACTGTCGCATGTAGTAACTCCTGAATATGAGGCGAATCTCGTCGAACGGGCAAACCTCGTCGAATGAGCGAACATCGTCAAACAGGCGAATCTCGTCGAACGAGCGAACCTCATCAAAAAGGCGAACCTCGTCAAACAGACGAACCTCGTCTAATATGGTGAATCAAACAAACCTCGTCAATAAGACGAACATCCTCAAACAGGTAGAACCTCGTCAACCATTTGACAAACCACATCTGATTGTGAGAACGCTAGGGTTACACCCTTATGCAAATGCGTAGCTCGTCTGCATACTGCGAAGCAGCTTACGAGGCAACCTTCATGACAGCCAACGTGGCTCCAAAGAGCGCCATCTCGTCCCGATGCATCCGTGTGAATTACGCCTAACAAAACGCCAATTAGCGCCTCAGTCCGATTAGCCCCGATCCCCGGCTCATTGGTGATACGGGTGTATCTTCTCTTTAGAACTTAGCGATCCTCATGGGAACTTGAGGATAGATGATTCTCATAATAGCATAAAAATAGAGGTGTAAAACAACACAGTGGAACACAGGTTAAAGCATGAAATAAGACGGCGAATCGAAGAATCGAAGTATCCAGTTTTTAGCCCGTGAGTCGACTCATACATGTACATGAGTCGACTCATACATGTACATGAGTCGACTTATCAGGTTGAGTCGACTCATGCCTGTCATAAGTCGACTTATGAAACTCAGCCGTTTTGTCAAAAGTCTCTGACCAGTCGACTCATCACTGTATGAGTCGTCCCATGTGTCATGAGTCGACTCATATATGCACATGAGTCGACTCATCGATGGTTTCCTGGTTCGTTTGGGTTTCTGTTTGCACGAATTCCTATGGGGTTTGGGCTTGGTTATTTACCACTTTGTCATCCACGTTGTTACACCTATATAAGGGATTGTTTTAGGATTTCTAAACAGAGGAGATTGTTAAATATGTATATCTAAGGAGATTAGGTCTAAGAGAGATCAATTTTGATCTAGAGAGAGGATCAGATGTAATCAAAGAGAGATTTTAATCAAGAGAGATTAGGGTTTAGAGAGAATTAAGAATTTGTTCTATATTCTAGTGAGATTGTGAGAGAGGGATTGTAATCTTTTCATATTATAATCTAGAGAGGGCATTTTCCTTCGCCACATACTAAATTATTCTTGTGTTTCTGTCATCCTCTTCTCAATCCACCTTTGATAATTCCGCGATCAAAGGTGCTCGCCCGGCAACTCGTATCAAGTTGGTATCAGAGCGATATGATCCTGTGAAGAGGCATCCTGTGTATGGTCCTGACTCGATCGTAATACAAGAAGCTAGGCGAGATCCTTATTTTATTGGAAGGAGTCCAGAAATTAAGGAAAAAGAAGATGATGAAGGTGACGACAAGGTGATCTTGTCACATGTTGAAGACTTATGGTTTGATAGAGAGGAGCCGCTGAAGGAAGATTGCATGTTGGAGCGGAAGACGACCATGACGAGGAGGGGACAAAGGAGTTGTTTCTCATTAGACGTTAAGGTCAGGTTCCTAGCAAAGCTAAGTGGTTCAATAAGGAAGGAGGAGCTCGCGAGTTTCCTCAGCTGAAGTTCTAACTTGAACGGGGCTTTAAGTTCCTAAAGGGGACCCATGATACGGGTGTATCTTCTCTTTAGAACTTAGCGATCCTTATTGGGAACTTGAGGATAGATGATTCTCATAATAGCATGAGAATAAAGGTGTAAAACAAC